AAAAGGAAAAGACAAATAGTGTTTTTTAAAGACATGAAACCAATTTACCACACTTGGATACATTGAGGGCTCACTCGTGCAACTACATCTACATGTTTTGCTACATATGATGAAAGGGATGGTGGATTGAGTGTACCCTTTCTCTATAAAGCCCTTTTAATGGATTATCTCACATGGTGTCAACCTCATATGTTTTATATAAATTAAGTAGATTTCAAGACATGAAAATAGTGCATTTTCTAAAGCACTAGAGGGATCGTCGATTTTTTTTAAAAAAATGATTGTTTATAGATATGCTCAATTAGAATCCGTTTTTTTACTTTGAACTTCATAATTTTTCATGCCATTGCAAAGCTTTTTGGTACTGAAATTGTGTCATTCAGCATAATTTTGAGGTATGTTTTATTTTAATAGTATAAGGTTGACACCTTACACAAAACCTCACCCTTTTTAGAATGTCCCAAGTTAAAATTCAGAAAAAAAATAAGAAAATAAAATAAATAGAGAAAACTACTTCAACCAAGACAACCCCGATAGAGAGAGGCTTTGATAACCGGAGAAAAAATAAAAACAAGCTTTGGACAAACAAACAAAATATTGTTCTCCCACACACTTGTATGCAGCTATGGTAGGCTTACTGTATTAAGGTGGCCAAGTATATTTACAAGATCCCCAATGTTCTCTCTAGCATCAAAATGCACGAGTGTGGTAAAAAATGAGAATTGACTTTATCTTCAGGGCTATCAAACGGGTTGGGTACACCGGTGAACCGAGCAGGTCGATCCAACACACACACAAAAAATGAAAAAAAATAATATATATATATATATATATATGATAAATTACCATATAGGACCCTCCCCTACTTATGTGTGTAGAATCACCACTAAATTTGGCTTGGATATATAGAAAAGTCAAATCCCACACTCATGTGATACATTTCAAGAGATCTGTGCCAACTTTAATGGTGATCCTTTAGGATCTTACACACATGGGTGGAGGGCCCTATAGGATCATTATTATATATATGGAAAATGCTTTTGTGAGCCAATGGACTCACAAGGAAAAACGAGCCGGCCCATATTGAATCTGGGCCGATCTAACGATCATGAATGCTCGATAGTGTTTGAATTTTAATTTTTTTATACAAATCTAAATTATTTAAAATTTTTGACGTGTGTTGATAAAAAATAGGTGAATATTTGAAAAATTGTACATAATAAAATGACCAAAATACCCCTATCATTTTAAGGAGATATTTTGGTCATTTTTAATTATGGATTATTATTTTTTTATATTCTTATTAGGTGCGGCTTGATGAAAATAATATTCACCTAAAATTTCAAGAGATTTAGATTTATAGAAAAATAAATAAAATTCAAATACTCTTGGCTATCAGATCAGCCCATATTCAATCTAGGCCATTGAGCTTATACTATTATTTGAGCTAGTAGGCTCACCCTAGCATCTTCATATATATATATATGATCCTATGAGACCCTCCCACACCCATGTGTGTAGGACCCAAAGGATGACGATTAAATTTAATACATATCTCTAAAAAGTCAAGTCCCACACCTATGTCAAAATTTAATAGTGATCCTTTTGGGTTCTATTCACATGGGTGTGGGAGAGTCTCATAGTATCATTACTCATATATATATATATAGGGTAATGATTTCATGCAAGAGTTGTATAGTAATGTGATGCAACAACCTTAAAAAACTATTTTATGACCATTTCTTTGATCCAAAATTTGAAATATACAACTCTTTATAATCTAATGAACAATCACAAAAAAAGAAAAAATTGAAAACACAACTTAACAAGTATTTTTTTAGCCTAATTAACATAGGCTGTTCGTTTTGGTGAGATGCTTAAATCTAGGCTTTAGAAGGATTTTTTTCTTTTCCATATTTTTTATATGGCTTTATTATCACTAGATGAACAATGTTAAACAAAAAAAAAAAAAGATTTTGAGTTTATAAAGGTTAAGATTTTGAAATTCACAAAATAAATGGTTAAATTTGTTTTTTGAGGGAATTCATTTTTACCATATCTAGGGTTCAAATTGAACTTTTTTTTTGGGGGGGTTGATTATTGAGATGAAGAGAGTGTGTGTGCAAAATTTGGGGTCAGACAAATACCACAAACATGGTTTTTTTAGAAGTGTCGTTACATTATACTATAATAGAACCGTTGCATTGGATCATTGCTCACATATCCCACACCCATGTGAGTAGGACGCAAAATGATCACCATTAAATTTTGACATAGATTTATAGAAGAGTTATCA